TGGGTGCAATTACATTTACTTACATTTGGTGAGAAAGTGGAATTACCCTTTAAAGTGACTTTAAACCTTCCTTTTTTTTTCCATATAAGGGAGGCACAGATTGCGTCCGGATCTGTTCTTATTGTTTTTTTTTTTTAGGGCTGTGGAAATTAAAGATTAATTTCGAAATTAATCGTTACATTTTTTGATCGATTAAAATTATTTTGATCGCTAATTAAAACACTCACCTCTCCGCCAGCTTCCGGGAGTCCCGTCGGAGATCCAGTGACGTCACGGGCATCGACGTCACCGGACTACCCCCCCCCCTTCCCCAAGTGGCTCCGTCAGCTAACGAAGGGAAGGGGGGAGGAGTCCGGTGACGTTGATGTCCGTGACGGCTAACGAAGGGACATTGACGTCACCGGACTCCTCCCCCCTTCGTTCGCCGATGGAGCCACTTGGGCCGGTGAGTTTGCCCAAGAAACTTTCTGCACGAGCGCCAGCCAAGGCATTGGCCTATACACATACAGCACAGCAATGAAGTAATAAAATGAACTAGGATCACACTAATCCAGCACATTATTATTGTGAGTTGCCCCACTCAAGCGGCGGCCATATTGAGTGGGGCACGTGAGATTAATAACGTGCTGGATTAGTGTGATCCTAGTTCATTTTATTACTTCATTGCTGATCTGTATGTGCGATTAATCGAACACGAAAATTTTAATCATTACCAGCCCTAATTTTCTTAAATGTTTAAATTCCTCATTTTCTCATGGGTTCCTGCAGCACTGTCTCCACCTCCCCCTGCACGGGTGCCACCCTCAACTAAGCGGCTGCTTTGGAGGCACCTGTGCTCCCGCAGTGGCTGTGTGTGTCCATAGACACACACAGCCCTGCAGCAGGCCACGCCCCTCCTCTCCGCCCAACAGGTTGATTGACGGCAGAAGGAGCCTGTGGCTCCTCTGCCCTCCGTATACTTCCCCGCAACCAGAAAGTTCAGTTCAGAGAATCACTGCGGTGACTGGCGGCGGTGACATGCAGCACTGGCAGGTAAGTGTGGAGGGAGAGACGGGGGAAATCCAAAAGGCACTGGGTGTAAAAAAACGCCCCGAACGTAAAACTACCGTAACCCCTTCATGACCAGTGACGTCCTTAGTACGTCACTGGCACAGGGCCCGTTTAAACAGACTCTGTTGAAACTTATAAAGCTGACTGTCGGCTTTACAGTAGAAGTGATTCTGGCGGTTCAGCTGCCGCCAGATTGTTTCTACGGGCTCTGCTGCCCCTCCTACGGGCCTAGGATCGGCTTCTCTGGTGTCGGGGGGAAGCTTGGGGAGTAGATCGACGAACCTCCGTTCATCGATGATCTCCCCGTACTATGGGACCAGGAGAGATGCAGATTACATCACTTCCGGTCCCATAGCTGTCAGTGCTGGGCTCCTGGAGCCCAGCAATAAGCTATTGAAGTGTGTTGTGCACTTCAATAGCTTATTTCTAGTGTAAAGGTGACACTGGGGGTCTTTGGGACCCCCAGTATCACCTTAAAGAGTATCTGTCACCACCACTATGCTATCACATGGTGGGCTTGTAAGCCCCCCTATGTGATAGCAAATAAAGTAAAGGGAAAAAAATAACAGTTTTTAAAATTAATATTAAATAAAATAAATGTAAAAATCATTTTCAATTTTCTTTAAAAAGTCCCCTGCCCCCACAAGCACGCACGTCTTCACGTAAATTATATGTTTTGATAGGTTGATGGGTTAGTGCACTGGTGTATATATTGTCAACACTTTTTCTGTACTTTTATCACTTTTGTGTGCCTGATGAACTGCCCGGAGAGGTTCCCGAAACGTTGCCACGCATTGTGATATGACCTGCATGAATGAATAAAAGGATTTCGTTTTGAAGAAAACTTGGAGTGCTGGTGACCATTTTTTCTGTTTTGCAAGTATTTGGTGGCGCCATCTGTGGCCACTTCAGCACCCTCCCACATTGTATGGGGCTTCACGGAAACATGCGTCGGGTGTGCCTACGTATGAAAACGACGATCGCGCTACACATGTTGGGTATCGCCGCGCACGCCGGAGTAAAGGCAATAATTCTAGCGCCAATATTTATGCATATCTCTAAACTGGTGACCTGTTGGGACTTTTAAAGCGTCGTCTATGGACTTATTGGGGTACTGAATTTTGTCGCAGTTTTCGCGGATGCACACAATTTTTAACCTGGGCATGTTGGGTATCTATTTTTAAAAATTGGTATTTTGCTGTGTTTTTTGGCATTTAAGTGCATTTATCTTTAAATTTTGGAGTTTGATAAGGAGTTGCGCTAATATCCTGTCACCATTTAATTCTATAGGGTCCTGGCTTTCAGAAAATATATAATGTTTGGGGATTTGACGTAATTATCCGGCCTAAAATGTGGATTATAACATGTACACAACATTTTTTTTTTAAAGGCCTCGGTCATGAAGGGGTTAGCAACAAATGATATGAATCGAATACATTGAGCCATCTATTTACAGCATTATCTTTGACCACAGAACAACTGGTCCCTATGTTGTAGAGAATAAGACAGTGGGGAGTTTTATATGGTTTAGCAGAAGGCAGCTGGGAAGGGCTGACACCACTCAGTCCAAAAAATGCTGTGTGTTGGAAGTCAACAACAAAACTTAGGAGTGCTGAGTGCATTTCTGGCAGATAAACAGTTATTTTCCTGTACTTGCAAGGGATTTAAAGGGATAAAACCTGAGGAAGTGTGCATTTTGTGTTTTTGTTTCTTTTTTCCCTGACATACACTTTATATACTAGTATTTCTATTTGTTAATAAAATGCAACGTATTTATTGTTTGCATGAATTACTCCGTGTTTCATTGTGGTGTTTGTAAACAGTGTGTTACAGGATAGAGAAATCAATGTATTTAATTTGGAAGGAAATAGAAGAGACTGAATGAACACTTAGTGGTACAAGTAGAATGAAACATCCGACATGATGCTCCAGGCAGGCCCCATAGCAAGTAGACAGGCAAAGCACTTGTGGTGTCAAACACACTCATTTACATATCATTGGATTAAAACCTCTCTCAGCATGTCTGCCCTGTCCAAGACAAGTTCAGTGTTATGTACTGATTGCTCCCACCTATTTTAGGAAAGAGATGGCAGCATGATAAGGCTAAAGTCATTTTTAGTAATTAGCTTTAATGTTGATGTTTTTTTTTGTTTTTTAACGCCCTGGGCTGAACAAGAACTAACGCTCAATTCCCTCAGGGACGGCCACAGCGTCCCAGGTTGCTAAGAGCTGTTAGTAACCTGAGACACTCTGTCCGGCTGCCCGCCCAGCTCACTGACATCATCAGTTGCCAGAGAGCTGAGCATGATGCTCTGGTTGGCGTCCCGTCGAGTTCCTGGCACCCAGTGACGTCAGTAACCTGGCGGAACCGGACAGAGAGCTGCTGACAGCATGGCTCTAACACAGCTGCCAATCCCACCGCATCCACCCCAACGTACCCCCCCACCCCTAAAGCACTATCTGCAGCGAACGCCGCCCCCCCCCCCCCTTCCCTAGCACTATCGCCAGTACAAGCTGCAAATCCCAACCCCCCTGCTCTACTGCCTCAGGGGCCATAGGGTAGGGATGGCCCTGGGTATTTACTATGGACACTACGGCCTCAGTGCTGGCCTCCATGCGACAAATGGATGTACAAAATGTGTGTTGTTTCCCCAGAGTGACCCCGTGGCATAAATGAGAATATCCAAGTATTATCACAACGAATGTGTTTTTAAACTCAATGACGGTCTGTAACCGTCCGTCTAACAGGTAAATGAATCTGTCACAAACACTTATATCTGTCGTTCAGAGGCATGACGGAATTCTAAAGAGTTTCTATGACACTCTATGAATTCCAGGGTATGTGATCACTGTTCCTTTCTCTGTCTGCCTCTGTCAGCTGTTTACTGTCAGTACATGTGCAGACAGCAGATGTTGATTAGCTTGTAGTGCTTCTCACTCTTCCACTGTGAGCACTGCTGTGAGGGGCTGACAGGACACCGATAGTTAGACACATTCAGGCACTTATGGTAGTTGTATGCAAAAACAAATTTTAAGTCATTAGGCCTCATTCACACGAGAAAAGGCTGTCACGTACAGCTCCATTCTGCGTGCACGGCCGTATCAGGCAGCTCCCGGGAAGGACAGGTGCTGTTTGTGATTAGTACGCAGCCCCTGTCCTTCCCTATGGGACTATGCGGCCGTATCGGGCAGCTCCCGGGTAGAGTGTATGGCCCCTGTACTTCTCTATGGGAGTACACGACCATACGCCGCCCTACGCTCACCGGCCCTGCATGTCCGTGCGGCTGTCCGTACTCGTACGCTGACAGAATGGACCCGGGACACCTGTACCCATACCGACCTGCACTTGGGGTGAGCGTAGGGCGGAGTATGGCCACATACTCCCATAGAGAAGGACGGGGGCTGCGTACTAATCACACACAGCACCTGTCCTTCCCGGGAACTGCCCGATACGGCCGTGCACGCAGCACGGAGCTGTACGTGACGGTCTTTTCTCGTGTGAATGAGGCCTTAAAGTAATACACACATGGGGTGGAATGCATACAGTATTTGCCAGTGGTGAAGGGGGCTATCACTTGTTTTTTATTACTAGAGCTGTAATGGTTTTATCTAGTTAACTAGATAATAAGGATTGCTGCACAGCAATCTATTAGCAGCCATAGCACAGGGGCAATAGGGGTTTCCCTTTTCCAACAATGTAGAAAGAGTCACTCGCACTCCAACGTGATTTTAGTCAATGTTTATTGACCTCTGTAGTGTCGCATCATAGATCTGCTGTTATGTGATTTGACACTACAGAGGTCAATAAACATTGACTGAAATCAAGCTGGAGTGCGAGTGATTCTTTCTACATTGTACATTGATTTGCGGAGGCATCTCCTGTCACTTCGGCACCCAGCCGACTCCTAAAGGTATTGTCCGGTCAGGAGTGCGATGGGTCCAATCTGAACTTTCCCTTTTTCAACAAACGCTAAATGTGTGGCCTGTCTACTGTTAAACAAATATCTAGTAAATGAAACCATGTAGGTGTGTGAGTCTTTATAGCGTGGCACATACAGTATAAAGTGACAGTTAACACACAACCTTTCCCAACATTTGGGTAATAATCTTTTGTGTTGAAACAGGTTGCTTGATCTGGGGTTTGAGCAGTTTATTCGAGTTGGAAGTATCAAGAAAATTGCCAAGCCTATTCTGCCTCACAGGTAAGGTACATATTTCAGTTGCTTTCAGTCATCAAAATAGGTCTTTACTGGTGGCTGATGCACATGATACTGGTACTAAACACACCGTTACATGGTCCGTGTGGCTTGACTTTCGAGCCTCGGCTGGGTTCACGACTGAGATCCTCTCCTGATTCCTGCAAA